CTCTTCGATTTCTGAGATTGGCCCTCGTGGTCTCTGAGCAGCCCAGCTTTTGAGAAAGCAAGCGCCTCTTCGATTTCTGAGATCGGCCTTCGTGGTCTTTGAGCAGCCCAACTTAGCTTTTGAGAAAGCAAACGCCTCTTCGATTTCTGAGATCGGCCCTCGTGGTCTCTGAGCAGCCCAGCTTTTGAGAAAGCAAACGCCTCTTTCGATTTCTGGGCAGACGCCTCTTCGATTTCTGAAGCTCCGTCGAGTGCAGATTTTTATAGAGGCTGGCATTAAGTTTCAAAGCACACTTGAATCTTCACCAGTAGAAGCTCCATTCTTGCACTTCTAAGATCTTGATTTGTCCGACCTCTTCTCTCTTCAACACCTTTGAAAATGTTTGGCCCCTCCGACCGTCGTTTTGACTTGAACCTTGTTGAAGAGGCAGCCACGCCTTCTCCAGACAACATATGGCGCCCATCCTTCTTATCCCCTACTGGTCCTCTTACCGTTGGGGATTCCGTGATGAAGAATGATATGACTGCTGCGGTGGTGGCCAGGAACCTTCTCACTCCCAAAGATAACAGACTACTTTCCAAACGGTCTGATGAGTTGGCTGTTAAGGATTCTCTGGCTCTAAGTGTTCAGTGTGCAGGTTCTGTGTCTAATATGGCCCAACGCCTATTTGCTCGAACCCGCCAAGTTGAATCATTGGTGGCTGAAGTGATGAGTCTCAAACAGGAGATTAGAGGGCTCAAGCATGAGAATAAACAGTTGCACCGGTTCGCACATGACTATGCTACAAACATGAAGAGGAAGCTTGACCAGATGAAGGAATCTGATGGTCAGGTTTTACTTGATCATTAGCGGTTTGTGGGTTTGTTCCAAAGACATTTATTGCCTTCGTCTTCTAGGGCTTTACCGCATAATGAAGCTCCAAATGATCAACCTCTGATGCATCCTCCTTCTAGGGTTCTGTCCAGTACTGAGGCTTGAATGATCCCCCTCCGGTGCCTTCTCTTTCTGGGGCTCTACCGACTGCTAAGACTTCTCCTAAGCAACCTTTGTGAAGGATCCCTCTTGTTTGTTTATTTTGACTCATGTATATGTACATATTTGTAACTTATCGGAGATATCAATAAATAAGCTTTGCTTCATTTCCAACGTATTGTGTTAAATACACCAAAGCCTTCTTCACTGAGTGGGGTCGGCTATATGAATCTTAGAACGCCATTGTGCTCGGTCATGTGTCATGTCATCCGTTAGATCCAAATACTCTAAGTCTTATCTTAGAGTCTCTTCCAAAGTTTTCCTAGGTCTTCCTCTACCCCTTCGGCCATGAACCTCTGTCCCGTAGTCGCATCTTCTAACCGGAGCATCAGTAGGCCTTCTTTGCACATGTCCAAACCACCGTAACCGATTTTCTCTCAACTTTCCTACAATTTCGGCTACTCCTACTTTACCTCAGATATCCTCATTCCTAATCTTATCCTTTCTCGTGTGCCCACTCATCTCCGCTACACCCATTTTGTGTACGTGTTGATACTTCACCGCCCAACATTCTGTGCCATACAGCATCGCCGGCCTTATTGCCGTCGTATAAAATTTTCCCTTGAGCTTCAGTGGCCTACGACGGTCACACAACACGCCGGATGCACTCTTCCACTTCATCCATCCAGCTTGTATTTTTTGGTTGAGATCTCCATCTAATTCTTCGTTCTTTTGCAAGATAAATCCTAGGTAGCGAAAACGGTCGCTCTTTGGTATTACCTGATCTCCGATCCTTGCCCCTAACTCATTTTGGCCTCCATTTGCACTGAACTTGCACTCCATATATTCTGTCTTTGATCGGCTTAGGCGAAGACCTTTAGATTCCAACACTTCTCTCCAAAGGTTAAGCTTCGCATTTACCCCTTCCTGAGTTTCATCTATCAACACTATATCGTCTGCAAAAAGCATACACCAAGGAATATCATCTTGAATATGTCCTGTTAACTCATCCATTACCAACGCAAAAAGGTAAGGACTTAAGGATGAGCCTTGATGTAATCCTACAGTTATGGGGAAGCTTTCGGTTTGTCCTTCATAAGTTCTTACGGCAGTCTTTGCTCCTTCATACATATCCTTTATAACTTGGATATATGCTACTCGTACTCCTTTCTTCTCTAAAATCCTCCAAAGAATGTCTCTTGGGACCCTATCATACGCTTTTTCCAAATCTAGAAAGACCATGTGTAAATCCTTTTTCCCATCTCTATATCTTTCCATCAATCTTCGTAAGAGATAGATTGCCTCCATGGTTGAGCGCCCTGGCATGAACCCGAATTGGTTGTCCGAAACCCGTGTCTCTTGCCTCAATTTATGCTCAATGACTCTCTTCCAGAGCTTCATTGTATGACACATTAGCTTAACACCCCTATAGTTCATGCAATTTTGTACGTCGCCCTTATTCTTGTAGATAGGCACCAAAGTGCTCTTTCGCCACTCATTTGGCATCTTCTTCGTTTTCAAAATCCTATTGAAAAGGTCAGTGAGCCATGCTATACCTGTCTCTCCCAAGACTTTCCACACTTCGATCAGTATATCGTCTAGGCCCACTGTTTTTCTATGCTTCATCTTCTTCAAAGCTACAACCACTTCTTCCTTCCTGATTCGACGATAAAAGGAGTAGTTTCTACACTCTTCTGAGTTACTCAACTCCCCTAAAGAAGTACTCATTTCATGTCCTTCATTGAAAAGATTATGAAAATAACCTCTCCATCTATCTTTGATCGCGTTCTCTGTAGCAAGAACTTTTCCATCCTCATCCTTGATGCACCTCACTTGGTTTAGGTCTCTTGTCTTCTTTTCCCTTGCTCTAGCTAGTTTATAGATATCCAACTTTCCTTCTTTGGTATCTAGTCGCTTATACATATCGTCATAAGCCGCTAACTTAGCTTCTCTCACAGGTTTCTTCGCCTCTTGCTTCGCTCTTCTATACCTTTCACCATTTTCATCGGTCATGTCCTTGTATAAGGCTTTACAACATTCCTTCTTAGCCTTCACCTTTGTTTGTACCTCCTCATTCCCCCACCAAGATTCCTTTTGGTGTGGAGCAAAGCCCTTGGACTCTCCTAATACCTCTTTTGCTACTTTTCGGATACAACTAGCCATAGAATCCCACCTTTGGCCAGCTTCCCCCTCTTTATCCCACCCACACTGGGTGATTACTTTCTCTTTGAAAATGACTTGTTTTTCTCCTTTTAGATTCCACCATCTAGTCCTTGGGCACTTCCAAGTCTTGTTCTTTTTTCTCACTCTTTTTATATGTACATCCATCACCAACAAGCGATGTTGATTAGCCAAGCTTTCTCCCAGTATAACTTTGCAATCCTTACAAGTTATACGATCCCCTTTCCTCATTAGAAGAAAATCTATTTGTGTTTTTGATGACCCACTCTTGTAGGTGATCACATGTTCTTCTCTCTTCTTAAAGAAGGTGTTGGCTAAGAAGAGATCATATGCCATTGCAAAATCCAAGATAGCTTCCCCATCCTCGTTTCTCTCCCCAAAACCATGGCCACCATGAAAACCTTCATAGTTGCCTGTCTCCTTGCCCACGTGTCCATTTAAATCTCCTCCTATAAATAACTTCTCCGTCTGGGCAATTCCTTGCACCAAGTCTCCAAGGTCTTCCCAAAATTTCTCCTTCGAACTTGTATCCAACCCTACTTGAGGTGCGTACGCACTAATCACATTGATGAGTTTTTGTCCTATTACAATCTTGATTGCCATGATTCTATCTCCTACCCTCTTGACATCTACAACATCTTGTGTCAAGGTCTTGTCCACGATGATGCCAACACCGTTTCTCGTTCTATTTGTGCCCGAATACCAAAGTTTAAACCCTAAGTTTTCTAAATCCTTTGCCTTAAGACCAACCCACTTAGTTTCTTGTAGGCACATAATATTTATCCTTCTCCTCACCATAACTTCCACTACTTCCATAGATTTTCCTGTTAAGGTTCCTATATTCCACGTTCCTAAACGCATTCTACTCTCTTGAACTCTACCCTTCTGTCCTAGCTTCTTCACCCTCCCCCGTCCAATAGAATCAAAGTACTTCTTTTGTGTGTCATGTGTAAAGTTGATAGGAGCATATGCTCCCAAACAACTTTGAGTGGAGTCGTTCGAAAAGAAGTTTCTATGGCCCTCTTGCTCATTTAACACTGCATCCGGGTGCCGATGGAGATACAGCGACCCTTGCTCACTTATCACTGTGCTCGGGCCACACAGCGCGCCACTTACGGGTGACGCCCTAGCCTTAGCGCGATTTCGTTCTGGATTCATTTTCATAAGGATTCGACGTAACTGTGGAGTGCCGGCTGTCGACTACCTGAGACCCTCCCCCTCCTCCTTTACCCGGGCTTGGGACCGGCAATGTAAGATAAACTTACACAGGCGGAGTTATAGTCATTAAATTGTTATGCCATATGAAAATCCTTAACTAGGATTTTGTTAAGTTTGATATCATAACCAATCTTATTTTTCTTGCAGACCTCCAAACTGAAATTGCAGGATGCAATCAAACAAACAGAAGAAACTCAGAAGTTCGCTAACGGATTGTGTCTCGAAGTACAAAGAATGTGTGCAGTCTAAACGTCTCAGAAACAGCTGCTTACTGGTTTTATACTCTCATGCTGAAAGTACCGTGATTTCATCTGATGGGTAATTAACTGCCATCTTAATTTATCATTTGAGCTTTGTTACTATTTTGATTAGTTCTACTAATCAGATGGTATTCTAAGTTTCTTAGAGTGACGTGTTTCCAAACGAGTATTGTATGAGAGCCGTATTTATAGTAAGTACAAAGTTTATGCCATTTTATGTAAACTATATATTTCATCGGATCGGATATCTTTGTTTGTTACTATTCTCATGAGTTATACTAATCAGATGATATACCCCTTAGAAAATCATCAATAAGATGAACTTTGGGCTTTTATTCTATTTTTAACAACAAAACTAAAACTAAATAGTTATTAAACAGCCTCACGCAAATCCACCGAGTCTCATATTCGATTGAGTTGTATCCATCAGGAAGTTATTACAAAACGTATTAACAGCGAAGTCCATAAGCTACAAAACGTGCTTTTAAGTTTCTCCGGTCCGTCACGTCCCTAATAGTGCAGATCCACACACACTGACCAAGAGGTGCTTCGTTTGATTAGCAAACCATTCGCATCTTTGTGAAAATATTGGAAGCATATCCCCTTCCCCAAACCACGTTCGTGGAAGCTAATGTTCTACCATGGCTTGAGAGCGTATATAGATCCAAACACTAACCAGTTCCTTTATATCACCTAACAATATCACTAGCTGAGTGGCCTTTTAACAAATGGATGGTTCAATAGCTGAGCCGCAGTGGGTCGGCTACAAGGGTCAACTTGTAAACATTTCAAAATGAAATCTTTTGCATCACTTGATAACCAATTAGGTGTTGAATTATAAGTCTCTAGCTGATTAAGTATTAGAAATAAGATGAGTTTTAATGTGTGTATTCATTTGAGCATATATGCCAAGTGTAAGGTTAAATGATGTAAGGCCATGAGTGCCATGTGGTGTTTGATCCATGTAATTAGGTTGATGAGTGACTAAGATTAAAAGTAGTGTTTAGTGTGGTCCTAAAGCTAAGGCCATCAGTTAAATGTAAAGCAGTGTGAGTGCTCATTTTTCTGAGTAGTACAAAATATTCCTCTGCAATATTTTTGCAGTAGAGAACAAGAAAGAAAAAAACTATTTTTCGGTTCATCTTCCATCTTTGCTTTTGCTTCTGTTCAGTATTCTAAAAACAAATCCAGCTAAATTAGAGTAACACTAACATGGCCTCAGAGCCTTGTTTCGATTAGATCTGGGCGTGTTTCTGTGAGCTCAAACGTCACCGTCTCTGGACTTGGTGAAGTTTGCCGGAGCTTATCTGTGATCTAAGAACTACGTGTTTCTGGGTTCACACAAGCTCACGATGGCTGGACCTGGGAGTGCTGAAGTGAGGACCCCGATCTTCTCCGGTGAGAACTACGAGTTCTGGAGAATCAAAATGGTTACCATTTTCAAGTCGTATGGACTGTGGAATCTGGTGGAAAAAGGGATTCCGGTTCCTGATTCGAAGAAGAAGGAAGCTAAGACTGATGAACATACAGAGGTTGATGTTGACGATGATGAGAAAATGGCTGCAATCTTCATGAAAGATGCAAAAGCTCTCGGAATCATTCAAAGCGCAGTCTCCGATCAGATTTTCCCTCGAATCGCAAACGCAGACTCAGCAAAAATGGCATGGGATCTGTTATATGGCGAATATCACGGTGGGGATCAGGTAAGATCTGTGAAACTCCAGAATCTTAGACGAGAATTTGAATACACTAGAATGCGTGATGATGAATCTTTGACTGGGTATCTTACTCGTTTAAATGATCTGATTAATCAAATGAAGACGTTTGGTGAAACTATGTCAAATGAGAGATTAGTTCAGAAGGTGTTAATCAGTCTCACTAAGATATATGATCCTATATGCTTAGTGATAGAAAACACTAAATGTTTAGAATCTGTTGAACTGCAAGAGGTATTAGCTATATTGAAGAGTCAAGAGCAGAGGTTTGATTTGCATTCCTCATATGCAACTGAGAGAGCATTTTCTTCTCTTACTGTTAGTTCAAAAGGGCAGAATCGAAGTTATGCTCAGTCTAGTACCTTTAAACCACAGAGAAATTGGAATCAAAAGGGCAAGAAATGGGAGTCAAAACCAAAGTTTCAGCAAAAATCATACACAAGTGTTGCACAGAATAGTACTTCCTCACAGGGTATGGGTCAAGAGAGTGTAAAACCTCAATGTAAGGTGTGTTCAAAGTTTCATTATGGTGAATGTAGGTATAAGGGGAAATCTAAGTGCTATAACTGTGACAGATTTGGGCACTGGGCAAAAGAATGTACTGTTGGAAAGTCTGTTCAAAAGGCAAACTGTGCCAGTCAAATGGAAGTAACAGGGAACTTGTTTTATGCAAATTGTGCAGTTGCTGAGACTAAGGTTAATGGAGATTGGTACATAGATAGCGGCTGCAGTAATCATCATATGACAGGAAATGTTGATCTTCTTGTTGATGTGAATACGAATGTTGCAGGGAAGGTTCAAATGCCAACAGGAGGATTAGTTAATGTGGCAGGAATTGGATCACTGGAAATTGAGACTAACAGAGGAAGAAAATACATTCGAGAAGTCATGTACCTACCTGGCTTGAAAGAGAATCTACTTAGTGTAGGACAAATGGATGAGCACGGATACTATCTTGTGTTTGGTGGAGGTATGTGTACTGTCTTTGATGGCCCTTCTCTGGAATGTCAAATTATCAGTGTAAAGATGAGAGGAAACAGATGCTATCCTCTATCTCTAAGTTCTGAAAAGCAACTTGTGTTGAAGCTCAGTTTTGCTAACTGTGCCCGGACTTGGCACAGAAGACTTGGCCACCTAAACTTTGGTGGAATCAAAAAATTGAAGGAGAAAGATATGGTTCATGGATTACCAGATCTAGAAGAGAATGATAGAGTCTGTGAAGGTTGTCAATATGGTAAACAGCACAGAGAAAGTTTCCCTAGTGGTCAAACACAAAGAGCTGGTGCTTCACTCGAATTGATCCATGTTGATCTATGTGGACCAATGAGGAATGAATCCACTGGAGGAAACAAATACTTTATGCTGCTTGTGGATGATGCAACACGAATGATCTGGGTATACTTTCTTAAATATAAATCTGAGGCCTTCTCCTGCTTCAAGAAATTCAAAGCAATGACTGAGTTACAAACTGGTTTAAGGGTGAAATGTCTGAGGAGTGACAGAGGAGGGGAGTTCTTGTCTACTGAGTTCAATCAGTTCTGTGATACAGAAGGCATTCAAAGGCAACTTTCTCTTGCATACACTCCACAGCAAAATGGAGTGGTGGAAAGGAAAAACAGAACCGTGGTTGAAATGGCTAAGTCTATGCTACACGATAAAGGAATGCCCTATTATATGTGGGCAGAAGCTGTGCATACTGCTGTGTACATTCTGAATCGATGTCCTACCAGGTCTCTTGATAACATAACCCCCTTTGAAGCTTACAGTGGAAGGAAACCGGGTATTGCACATTTGAAGATTTTTGGCTCAGTTTGTTATGTTCATATCCCAGCTGAATTAAGGCACAAATTAGAAGCTAAGAGTCTAAAGGGAGTTTTTATTGGCTATGCAAGGTGTGAGAAAGGTTATAGGGTCTTTGATCCATTTTCTAAAAGGGTAATACTGTCAAGAGACGTTGTGTTTGATGAAGATTCAAGTTGGAATTGGCAGGAAAGCACAGAGAAACATGTGTCTATGTTCAATTATGAAGGGCAGTCTGGTGAGTCACCAAGCAGTGCATTCACAGAGGTTGAGACCCCAACCTCTAATACTTTGCCATCTAGAAGTTTGACAGAAATAACAAGTGATACTGATAATGCACCGGTTACTCCTCAAGTCCAATCTACTGAATCCTCTAGTAGATCTTGTGAAAGTACAAGAGATTCACAAGTGATTGATCATACTCCATTAAAATGGAGAAGGCTGGATGATGTACTTGCTAAATGTAATCTGTGCATTATGGAACCAGAGAGATATGAAGATGCAAGTAAGGATGAATCTTGGATGAATGCTATGAAGGATGAGCTTTCAATGATTGAAAAAAATGCAACCTGGGAGTTAGTGGACAGGCCAAGTAACAAGCCTATAATTGGAGTAAAATGGGTGTTTAAAACCAAGCTCAACTTGGATGGAACTGTGCAAAAAGAACAAGGCAAGGCTTGTTGCAAAGGGATATGCCCAGAAACCAGGAATAGATTACAACGAGACCTTTGCTCCTGTTGCCCGTTTAGATACAATCAGAACTCTTATAGCATTGGCTGCACAAAAGTGTTGGAAACTCTATCAACTTGATGTCAAATCGGCTTTTCTGAATGGTGTTCTAGAGGAGGAGGTTTATGTGGAGCAGCCTGATGGTTTTGTAGCTAAAGGGGAGGAAGACAGGGTATACAAACTTCACAAAGCCTTGTATGGTCTAAAACAGGCACCACGGGCCTGGTATGGAGAAATAGATACCTATTTCTCACAATGTGGGTTTCACAAGAAGCTTAAGTGAACCAACACTGTACATCAAGACAGAAGAGGAAGGCATTTTGATTGTGTCGATCTATGTGGATGACATAATCTATACTGGGAGCAACAAACAAATGCTTGAAGAATTCAAGGAAGACATGAAACGAAAGTATGAGATGACTGATTTGGGCCTTCTACATCATTTTCTTGGAATGGGAATAATTCAGACCACTTCAAGCATTTTCATCCACCAAAAGAAATATGCAAGCTCTTTGTTAGACAAATTTGGTCTAAAAGAGTGCAAACCTGTGCTTACTCCATTAGTTGCAACTGAGAAGTTAACCACGAATGATGGAAGTGGTGCTGCAAGTGAAGAGTTATACAGAAGTTTTGTGGGAAGTCTCTTATATCTCACTGCAACCAGGCCTGATATTATGTATGCATCCAGTCTGTTAGCCAGATTTATGCACTGCCCTACCAGTAAGCATGTTGGAACTGCTAAAAGAGTGCTAAGATACATTAAGGGTACACTTGATTATGGTCTGGAATATGTGAAGGGTAAGAACTCAATGTTAATTGGGTTCTGTGACAGTGACTGGAGTGGATCAATTGAGGACAGTAAAAGTACTTCTGGTTATGCTTTCTCCTTTGGCAGTGGAGTATTCTCTTGGGCATCTGTGAAGCAAAATTGCGTTGCTCTTTCCACTGCAGAAGCAGAGTACATCAGTGCTTCAGAAGCAACTACTCAAGCCATTTGGTTGAGATTTGTGCTTGAAGACTTTGGTGAATTTCAAACCGAAGCCACTCCAGTGCACTGTGACAACACCTCAGCAATTGCAATCACCAAGAACTCTGTGTTTCATCAAAAGACCAAATACATTAACAGAAGATACCATTTCATCAAGGATGCACTGAAGGATGGTATCATTGATCTGGTGTACTGTCCAACTAATGAACAACTTGCTGATATCTTCACAAAACCTCTGCCTAAAGATCGGTTTAATTATCTCAGGAACATGCTAGGAGTGAAATCAGCTCAAGACTTAAAGGGGAGTGTTGAATTATAAGTCTCTAGCTGATTAAGTATTAGAAATAAGATGAGTTTTAATGTGTGTATTCATTTGAGCATATATGCCAAGTGTAAGGTTAAATGATGTAAGGCCATGAGTGCCATGTGGTGTTTGATCCATGTAATTAGGTTGATGAGTGACTAAGATTAAAAGTAGTGTTTAGTGTGGTCCTAAAGCTAAGGCCATCAGTTAAATGTAAAGCAGTGTGAGTGCTCATTTTTCTGAGTAGTACAAAATATTCCTCTGCAATATTTTTGCAGTAGAGAACAAGAAAGAAAAAAACTATTTTTCGGTTCATCTTCCATCTTTGCTTTTGCTTCTGTTCAGTATTCTAAAAACAAATCCAGCTAAATTAGAGTAACACTAACATTAGGAACTGGAGGAAGTTTACCGCTGCCAATCTGAAATAATGCTTGTGTCTGCCAATCATCACAAACAAGAATATGATTTTTGTCAGATTCCTAAATGACTCTACAGACGACAACTTAGTGATCTGCCTCGTCTATAAAATGTCTTAGCCTTCTCGCATGAGTGACGGTCCAAATTGATTAAGAAAACCAAGGTTACCCTAGTGCTAGTGGTCACTGATGTCTGAGAAGAAATAGCCGGATACAGGTTAAGGGGTAAACATAGGTCCATGACCCTTGATTAAGGATTCTAGTTACTTACATGGAAGAGTAAATAACATATTGTGAATAGGTAGCACAAAGGCTGAGTATAGGTAAGATGATCCGGGTAAAATCACACGGTGGGGGATGTGTGGCATGAGGTTGGCTCCTACGTCCAATGATCTAGGTCAAAATGTGATATGGGCATATTTTTATGCATTTTTTATCCTAAAGAAAAAGTAAAAGATTAGCATTTTATGTGCAGAAATGTTGAACATACCCATTCCAGGGGAAAGTACGGAGGCTGGCGGGTTAACATCTCTAATACAGTGCATCCAAGGCTCCATATGTCAGCTGCAAACCCATAGCCACCATTCATTTGATTAACAACCTACAATTTTACAGCGTACTGGTCAACAGATTAACTTAAAATCCATGAAACAGATAAGCATGCTCGGAGCAACTTATTCCCAATTATACTATTACAAGGTAAATGATGAAAATTAAGTTGTGTACATCAAAGAGTAACTACGTGGATAATCAGAACTAGATGAATTACTCCACATCATACTAGTTTTACTATGTAAAGGCAGCTGTTGAGATATCAATCCGATGTGTACAAACACACATTTACTGTAAAGAGAGGAGGCAAACCTCAGGGGCCATCCAATAAGCAGTCCCTTTGGAAGACTTCAATTCATTCAATTTGGTCACCTAGAAAAACAGAATGCCAATAAGGAATGATTCAGCATTGGAAATTCTATGAATATACATTTAGGAATTGTACCTTGGCTAACCCAAAGTCTGCAAGTTTCACAGATCCACTTGCATGTACCAATATATTAGCACATTTGATATCCCTGGAAAAAATAATCTCATAAATATAGATAATAAAAACAAATTTTAAACTTCTACAAGTTCAATATCAATATAAGGAACACGTAAGTCTAGAAAGCAGAAAAATATGTCAAAGGGAATTATAAAAATGTAGGTTAAACAAGGATTGTTTGGTTCGTTATTGTTTACGTAGTTGTATCTTATCTCTGTTGGGGCCTATACGTTGTACTTTAATTACAGACAAGTATGTTGTTCCAGTCCCTCTATTCCTTGTAAATTTTCGTGTGTATGATACATATATAAAATATTTCACATTATAAGACGAGAGAGATTTTAATTCAGATAGGAGGAATTGGAAAATGCACCTCATGAGCATTACCAAGGTATGTGATAGGGATTTGTAAATGACTCCTTCCAAATAGTCATTTGCAAATTCCCCTATTTTGTCTTTTGTAATGCATTTCTAATTCCTCCTACCAAACATTTTGTGATCCATTTCCTCTTTATTTTGCCCAAATGCCTTGGAATTTGGAAGACCCTCACCCATTTTTCAAACCCTCCCTTATGTTCACAGTTTTGTCTACTAAGATTAGTATAGGACCATAGGTCAATGGTTCAATCCCTTCCAGTGTAACCACAAAAGACAGAAAAATCACAATACAAAAATTCCAGTACCAAAAGTACATTACCTGTGAAGCACACGACGTTTATGAAGATATGTCAACCCGCTTAGAATCTGCCTTGTATACCCAGAGACTTGAGAATCCTCTAAGTTATAGTTTTGATATAGCTTTACAAGTGAGCCTTTTGTTACAAGCTCAAGGAAGATATAGAGCTTAGTTTCATCCTGTAATAATATTACAATGAGCAACTAAGTGTACAAATCAGGAGAGTTGAATAAATATATTAAATTATAGTGAAATATAGCAAGCTACTTTATCTTATGATTGCAGCTTGAGTAGTTGCATTGGTCATCTCTTTAATTTATTGTCTTATGGTTCTACAAATACATGTACAGTTGTACACACATACAAGGACAAATACCTATGCACAAACTACAAAAAAACAAGAACAAATGCAAAAGGAAAAGATAAATCTCCCTCAATAAGTAGAAAGTTGTATTTCTAAACTGGCAGGAACCAAATAGAAATGCAAACCAAGAAAGAAAGAAAGAAAGAAAGAAGCACACCTTGTGTGTGCCCAGATATCGAACTATGTTGTCATGTTCAAACTGACTTAAAAGGGAAATCTCCTGTACAACAATAATCGTATTAGGAGAAAGAATGCTAAGGAATCCAGGAAACAGAATAGCATCTACTGAGTAAGAAAACACAATCAGAAGAACACTGTTTTTTTCGACCTGCTCAAGTTGGATAACGCTCTGCTTTCCCTGGCTCCCTTGGTCCAGTAAAGAAACCTCCTTTACAGCAAAAAAAATTCCATCACTGCAAAAGATCATTTGCAGCATGAGATAAACAGAGAGAGTGAGACCAACATGTTAATTTTGTTGAACAGAATAGGCCCAGTTTAATGCAATACCAACTTCACGTTCTCCATCCTTTTTCTAACCTTACAATTTCTTGCTAAGAAAATTCCAAACACTTTGAGTGGAAACACCTAAAGTAGAATGGAATGCTTACACTATGAAAAATAAAACTAGGAAATGGTAGGGATAAAGGTTTTCCAGACTACCTCAAAGTTTTATGGATACATTATGCAAAAGATTAAAAAGAAAGAAGTGAGTAAATGGATAGCAGTACACTAAACTAGGAAATTAGAAATGAGAATCATATAACCATGAATGGCGGTCCCTCTAGTTATGAAAGTGGTGGTAGTCTTGGTCCCTCTATTCGTTAGCACTAAGCACTTCAACGAATTCCCGGTCTCCTACCAAAGTACAGTTATTTCTTTTTCATTTTTGTTTCAAATTCAAAGTAACTTATTAGAGTTTGGAAATCAGCCTTTAAAGTAAGAGGCATTGGACCAATATATGTGGTACTTTTATGCGAAAACGGAAACGAATTCTAACAAAGTACCTATATCAATGTCGTAGGTGAAAGCTAAAACAAACAATCTCAAACTAACACAAGAGATTTACGTGGTTCGGGGTAAAACCTACATTCACGAGCGAAGCACAGCGAGGAATTTCACTAAACAAACGGAGATTACAAAAGAGTGTTTAAACTCTCACAACCCAAGTCCCACAAATTACAAACCCTAAACCAAACGAGTACATAACTCAAACAAACGGAGAAGATTCTCCCAAATTGCTCTCTAACTCACAAACTCACAAATTGACTCTCACCAAATTGTCACACGAATGAGCCACACAAAATACACCAACCCTAATGTCCTATTTATAGTGCATTGGACTTAGGTTACAATAAGAATCCTAATAGGAAGTAAATTCAAACCCTAATCAAATAGGTAGTTAACAAAATCTCTCCACCAAGGAAACCAACCAAGAAGTCAAAATCCAAACCCAAATAGGACACCAAAACCAAATAGGTAACACAAACCTAATTTTTTGCATCATCCTAATTTTGAGTCGTAAAACCCAGCAATCTCCACCTCGGTGAGAAATTAGCAAACTTCCAAATCAAATGCAAACTTCAAATTTGGGATACCAAAATACAAATACAAACGTGCACCAAATTCTTTCGAAACTGATCTCCACCTAGACTCAAAAAATTCAAAAGTCTTCAAACCTGAAATTTCCTCTAACGCCTTCTCCAACAAATTCCATTACGGAAACTAACAAATTTGAAACAAAAACCAAGCAAAAGTTTGAACATACAAACAAAAAGTGCAAAATGCACTCCACCCAAAGAGCTTGAGTACCAAGCTCCACCTTCTCACATAACCTTTAGAGGAGTTCAGAACAACGATCTTCTGCAATGTTTTACTCAACACTAGCAAAAGACTTATCAAATGGTTTCTTTTTTGCCCTTGAGTTTAGTGCAATCTACTTTCCAATGACCTTCCTTATAACAATAACTACGAGTGTTCTTTCCAAGTTTGCCCCTTTCCTTATTCCTTCCTTGAACTATCAAAGCTCCATCTTGTGTGTCAGACACTTTATTCTTTAGCTCTTTAGAATTCAAAGCGACTTTAACATCTTCCAAACTAAGACTTTCTCTGCCAAATAGCATGGTATCGACAAAGTGTTCATACGAAGGAGATAAAGAACACAACAAAGTTATCGCATAATCCTCATCACTAAGAGTATGCAAACTTTTCTTCAAATATAACCGTTTAACAAGGGATTTGGTCGTATACAAGCTCTCCAATTTTAGCCACAACTCCGATGCAGATTTGATGTTACCAACTTCATGCAAGACTTCATTCGATAAAGTCAGAAGGATTTCTCTAAGTGCCCGCTCCATAACGTCTTCTTTTTCTTCATCAGTCCACGAATTCGGCAAAGCCTTCACACCCTTTAGCGTTTTTAAAAGCCCTTATAGAATTGACCAAGCACGCATCTTCAATTGCCAAACACCAAAATCATTGTCGTCGAACTTTTCAATATCAACTTTCACTGACAACGCAAAAAGCTTCATAGTGACTACCAAGCAAAGCCCAAGCCGAAACCTGGGCTTTGATACCACTTGTTGTACTTTTTATGCGCAAACGGAAGCGAATTCTAATAAAGTACCAATATCAACGTCGTAGGTGAAAACTAAAACAAACAATCTCAAACTGACACAAGGGATTTACGTGGTTCGGCGTAAAGCCTACTTCCACAAGCGAAGCACAGTGAGGAATTTCACTAAATAGATGGAGATTACGAAAGAGTGTTTAAACTCTCACAACCCAAATCCCACAAATTACAAACCCTAAACCAAACGAGTAGAGAACTAAAACAAACAGAAAGATTCTCCCAAATTGCTCTCTAACTCACAAACTCACAAATTGACTTTCACCAAATTACCACACGAATGAGCCACACAAAATACACTAACCCTAAGGTCCTATTTATAGTGCATAGAACTTATGTTACTATAAGAATCCTAATAGGAAGTAAATACAAATCTTAATCAAATAGGTAATTAACAAAATCTCTCCACCAAGGAAACCAACTAAGAAGTCAAAATCCAAATCCAAATAGGACACAAAAACCAAATAGGTTACACAAACCTCATTTTTTGCATCATCCTAATTTGGGTCTTAATACCCAACAATATAAAATTCACAAGTCCTGTTCAGATTGGGTTTAATTCACACAGTGCTAATCACCAACAACAAGAAGACAGGAACAAAAATTAATAAAAGTTACTCAGTTAAGCCTTCATACACATTTTGGATGTATGGATGTGGAAGATGACCACTTACTCAGTTAAGCCTTCATACACAGTCCCATAAGAACCGCTTCCCAAAGGGTCACGAAGTTTTCGCCACGTAACACTCCGCCTGAATTTCCCATCCGGCGAAAAAATACTATGGATTGGCTCCTGGTTCACTCTTACAATGCCAACAGAACCAACGTTGTCATCTGCATTTTGATCATCACTATTGTCATTGGATGGAGATGAGTTGGATGACAAACAATTGTCATTTACCAGGGCAAGGATATCCTTAACAATGTCGCTGATTATTTGAGCTTCATTGCTAGGAGTTCAAAACAAAAAACACATTTAATCAGTGAACTTTTTTTTTTGGGTATGTTTTAGAGATGTAAAAACAAATAGAGAGAAATATTACACAATTTTTAAGTGTACTTGAAAAATTATGTTGGTATGGTACAATTAGCATACTATTATTAATTGGTAACAAAATTGGCACAAAATCGGTGTAGTACAGTTGATAATTTGGCTGGTATATTAATATGGGAAAAAAAAATTCACTCCTAGTAATGAATTGATTGCGGTTACAATTTTAAGTTTTTGTAAACCGTTCTAAACCAAATCAAACAGACTACTCACATATTTGTTTTTACATTAATTTCATTTTACCCATTTAGTACTCTTATTGGCTAATAACTAGATACGGATGTTGAATATAAAGATATTGATATCGTAGAGTTATATTAAAGTTTAATGACATGATGAATTTTAGGATGTATTGTTTTTTTTTTTTTTTTGGTGAACAAAGATATTTGTTTCTAAACCACAAATCAAACCAACTACTCACATATTTGGTTTTTTTTTTTTTTGGGATGCATTGTTTGATGTACTAAAAAATGATTAATATGATTTTGGAATTTTTTGTTGTTGTTGGGCTACACTAAGTGCTAACAAAGTAAAAAAAAAATTGCAAAAGAAAAAAAATATTAGATTTAGGCCTAAAACCGCTCAAATCAAACCTAACCAAATTGTTGATTATGGTTTGGTTTGGTTCGGTTTCTTTAAGAATTTTTATCAAATTTCAACCAAACTAAATCCTTATATAGAGTAAAGCAACTCAAAAACCATATACAGGAAGGTCAGAAATAAACGTACTTTCCCTCGTTGAGAGTATCTCCCTTCAGATTTGCTGCTTCTGTAAGAGCTGTCCTCCATCTTTGCACCTTCTCCAGGTCATTCTCAAATTTGTGATTATGGTCAGCAAACGCAGTACCGTAACTATTTCTTTGGTGTCGTACATCCGATGGATCCACCTTGTAGAAGATTGGCCTTGTCATTTGTCCCTTTGACTTTCTACATTCTAGAATATGTACGAGCTCGTCCAAGCACCATCTTGAAGAAGCATAGTTTTCAGAGAATATGATGACAGAAATTCTCGACTTTTCAATTGCTTCGAGAAGAGACGGTGATATTTCTTCTCCGCGTCGAAGTTCAAGATCAATGAAGGTGTTGATTCCATGACGGTCCAAGGCACGGTATAGATGATCTGTAAAATTGTACCGTGTATCCTCACCTCTAAAACTCAAAAAGACATCGTATGTCCATGAAGGAGTAGTGCTGAAGGAAGAAGAAGGGACAAGTTGATTAGCCATGGGAGAATTAAAGCCAGAAAAACTAAAGAAAAGAACCTCTCAAAGAATTGGAATAAGCACTATGGTATAAACAATTGACAGCTGGTGCGAGTTTCTTTACTTTTTATATTTGACTGATGTCATGTTGCTTTAATTTTCATCTGAGTTTCTAGAGTGAAGAAAACTAGGAAATGGTAGGATAAAGGTTTTCCAGACTACCTCAAAGTTTTATGGATACATTATGCAAAAGATTAAAAAGAAAGAAGCAAGTGAATGGATAGCAGTACACTAGACCCGACAATTTCTTACACGATATGGTGATACGACACGAAAATAACGGGTTTTAGATTAACACGATAACTAATCGGGTCATTATCGGGTGACCCGCTAATAATGGGTTCTTAACGGGTATATACGCGGGTAACACATGGGTAACCCATTTCGACCCGTTAAGAAAAATAAATTATAATTTTAAAGTTTAATTACTAAAAAATTTATTATAAAATACAATAGCCATATTGTATATATTGGTATATTCTATATTAAATATATATTTTTGTATTATCATTCTTAATAAGTTAAAAAAACTAAGTTTTATTTATTTATATTATGAGAGTTTCTTATTATCATTAATAAGATAGATTTTACTTAACATGTTGTTGTCCAAAATTAAAATCAATTAGTATAGTATTAGTGTCACATCCAAGCCTGGGCCCCACCACATCCTGGGCTCGACTCCGTCATCGCACGATATTGTCCGCTTTTGGCCCCGATCACGCCCTCACGGTTTTGTTTCTGGGAACTCACACGAGCACTTCCCAGTGGATCACCCATCATGGGATTGCTCTCGCGCACTACTCGCTTAACTTCAGAGTTCCAATGGAACCCAAAGCCAGTGAGCTCCCAAAATGCCTCGTGCTAGGTAGGGATGAGAATATATATATATATATATATATATATATATATATATATATATATATATATATATATATATAAGGATCACTCTCCGAGGTGATGTGGGATCTTACAATCCACCCCCTTAGGGACCCGACATCCTCGTCGGCACACCACTGCCAGGGTTAGGCTCTGATACCAAATTGTCACATCCCGGCCTGGACGAGACCACTTCCCGGGCTTGACTCCACCGTAGCACGATATTGTCCGCTTTGGGCCCCGACCACGCCCTCACGGTTTTGTTTCTGGGAACTCACGCGAGCAGAACTTCCTAATGGGTCACCCATTATAAGATTGCTCTCGCGCACTACTCGCTTAACTTCAAAGTTCCAATAGAATCCGAAGCTAGTGAGCTCCCAAAATGCCTTGTGCTAGGTAGGGATGAGAATATACATATAAAGATCACTCCCCTGGGCGATGTGAGATTTTACAATTAGTACAGGCAATAAAACATCCCTACAAGTATGAAAAATGTGAAAGAATATATAAACACTTGTGATTCATCATTCCTCTACGAGTAGACAATTGTTACACTAACATTATCGTTTAGATTTTTAAAACCCTCCAAACCGTCATGAATAGTATTTTTTATTTGAGTGTAAAAGTAATAAAATTAATAATAATTATTGTAGTAGTGTAAGAAATGTAAAAAAAAAAAATTAAAAAATTAAAAAAAAAAAAAAAATATATATATATATATATATATATATATATATATATATATATATATATATACAATCATTCGTAGTGACAAGCTTTACAACTTTTGTGAAGGGGTCAACTTCGAAATCCGACACTATAATCCATAAACCTTAAATTTGTATTTAACCGTCGATTGTCGTTTAGGCATTATTCTTTATATTGAATTTCATTTTTTAAATTTTCTTTTTTGAAAACATGATCTTCTAGGGGATGTAGGAAGATGAACGGTTCGGATCTTTGATATCACGTCCCGATATTTACGGTTAATTGAAATATGAGTCGATGTTATATAGTTTGTAGAGACTTTATAAACACCAAGCAATATTTTCACTAATGGTAAAACTCTGAACATAATATCAAGGATCTGAACTATTCATCTTCATGTATCCTCTAATAGATCATGTTTTCAAAAAATAAAATCTGAAAAAATAAAATTTGTTGAGAAAAATGAAGAATAAATGTAAACAACAATCGACGGTTAAATTTTGATCTATGATTTATATGTTTATAGTGGCACATTTCAAAGTTAAGCCCTTCACGAAAGTTGTAAAGTTTGTCATTACGAACGTTTATATATATTTTTTCTATATTTTTCACACTTCTACATTAATTAAAAAACTATTAAAGACTTTACATAAACAATAGACATAGGATAAATGAGAAGATAGTGCTAATGTAGAAAGCCTCACTGAATATATCATCAATATAACTCTTGAAGACAATATATCACGCCAAAGTTCCAATACCATTTCTCATGGTGATTGATGAAAATTGAAGAATTTGATTGTAAGAAAATGTGCAAGGTTCCAAATCTTGAAACAAAACTCCCTTAATTTTGCAAATCTTTTGAACATTTGATATTTTGTAATGTTCTAATGTTTTTTTATTTTTTATTATGCTCTTATTTTGGGTATGTAAATATGTAATACTTGAAAGACAAATGCGTTTTTATGTTTTGAATGTGATAATATGGTATGTATATACTGTTTAGTATTATGTTTTTCATATGATTATTTATTGGTTTAAAATGTATTTTCCTTAACTGGTAACGGGTCGGTTCATATTACCTGTTAATATTATCGGGTCGATTTCAGGTTGGGTCATTTTACTTGTTTATTTTTAACGGCATGGATGGAGGGAGGTCAGGCCTAGTGGGGGCACATGCCCCATCTCATCCTTTTTTTTCGTTACATATTATTCAATTAATCGTTCTCATTTTTTTTTATTTTGCAGATTATTCAATTAATCATATTAAAATAGTGAAAATCCTCTTTTAGTTTTTAAATACCCCTTCGTCTTGTATATTTTTCTCACACACTAATGTCTAAACCTTGTTGAGTTGCATATATTTGGTTAATTAGTACAAATGAGCATTAATTTTTTCAGCATTTGTAAAAGAACTAGCTTTATTTGTCCAAAAAAGGAGCTCAAATTTTTTAAGGTACCCCCTCTTAGTTAAATTTCTAACTTCGTCCTTGTTTAATGGGTGTTACACGACACGATCCATTAAAATATCGGGTACGACACGAACACAAGAAACACGACACGAATGCCATGTGCGTACCTTCTCTTTGGAAACTTGCTCGACGTACTGTCAGAGTGGTCGGGCTCGTGACACCTCTTTTTCAACGGCGACATGGAGAGGGAAGATTTCGCGCTAGACCCGGAAGAAGCTGTATCTGTGTGCTCGGTAGAATCGATATCTTCGAGCTTGGGAGAACGTAATCTTTGAAGCTCGGAAAATGCTATTCCAACTGGAGTCGGGCTCTTGAGTTGCCTGGTGATCTCATCAATGATTTCCCTTATAAACATTCCTTCATACCTGGTAGGTAAATTTGAAAATGAAGCAAAAGTGCGTAAGATTTATTAGCAACTACAAGATTAATAAATTTAAAATATGCCTTAATTCATTATTACTAAATAGCTTGGGAGTGAATAAGATTTGACTTGTGTATGAGTCCAACAATTGTGAAGAAATTGGTAAATCAAAATCTTCATATGCCATTCTTACCACATGATACATAGATCATGTTTTTCCAAGGGGTCGTTTCATAATTAACCTCTACGGCAAGCGATTACACTAAGGGCAGAGGTGAGAGTTTGAACATTGGATGTAGTGGGTTGGAGAGAAGTGTCCTAACCACCATGATAATCCACCACTTACTACTTACCAGTTTTTGTTTTCATTTTTTATGAAAACTAATTTTGTTTGTTTTTGTTTTGGTAACTAAAACTTAAAAACAAAATGGTTATCAAATGACCCTCTAAGTTTTGTACTATAGTGTTTAATATCAAAGATTTCAATCCATACTCACAATCATTTTATAGGATATTCATGTGGGCAATTAATAACTTTTTTTTATGTGAAATGATAACAGTTTTATTAGAATCTTAAGAAAATGTATAACAACAGGTAATTTTGGCAAGTGACTTGTAGTTTAATAGGTTACAAGTGTTCACCCTTCACTTGAAGTCTCTGTCGTGAGTTACAACTCAAAATTAGGATGATGCAGAAATTAGGTTTGTATTACCCATTTCATTTGATGTATATTTTGGGTTTGGATTTGACTTCTTGGTTAGATTCCTGTTTGGTGGAAAGATTTTGTTAATTACCTATTTAATTAGGATTCAGATCTACTTCCAAGTAGGATTAGAATTCTTATTGTAACCTAAGTCTTATGCACTATAAATAGGACCTTTGGATTTAGCTTATTTTGTGTGCCGTCACAATTGGTTTAGACAATTTTCTCTAATTAGATTTTTGGGTGGAGGTTACCATTTGAGTCATATCTGTATGGCAAACTCGTGACTTATTTGTGTGACAAATTGTGAGTTAGAGAACGATTTGGGAGAATCTTCTTTGTTTGTTTTGGGTTCTGTACTCGTTTGGTTTAAGGTTTGTAATTTGTGGGTTTTTTGTTGTGAAAGTTAAACATTCATTTGTTATATTCGTTTGTTTAGTGAAATGATAATCAGTTTTATTAGAATCTTAAGAAAATGTACAAAATTCAACGAGGTAATTTTGGCAAGTTGCTTGTAGCTCAATCAATTAAGAACATTCGTCCTTATACCTAAGATCTCGTATTCAAATCCCCCTCTCCCTTAAAGGTAATCCTGAATTAAATTTCAAGGGTTCTCAAATAAAAAAATGCTTCACAGAAAAAAAAAAAAAAAAAAAAAAGAAGAAGAAGGCCAATTTGGCCAATTTAGTTGCCACCATATTAGCAACGAACAAGAACCCAATCTTTTACCAAGTCCACACTACTCTAAACAACCAAAACCCTAAACAAATCTAAAACATTAAATCATGAGTACCACCGCCCCCATTTGAATGAGCGTAGCAATCAGGCCACGCACATCTAGTCAAGAAACAATTGGAGAACAAGGGGCATATATATCTTTAGAAGACTTGAACTCTAGCAATTCAACTTCATAAGCAAGTTGACATTAAATTTAGAGAAAATGATGAAATTTAGAAGGAGAAATTCGGGAGAAGAATTGGATTGAAAAAGAAATAAAAAATAAATGATAGAGAGCTCACATCTAAGTATGAATGTTGATAAAGATTTAAAGAAATAATGAACAAACAAACAGATAAAAGTACGTACTTACCCATTAGTCGTTTCGAAAACCCAGACTGTCAAACCTGCAGCTTCAGTAAGAGCATCCGTCCACCGCCATATCTTTTCTTGTATATCTGTATCTTCATGGAAGCGCTCTCTATGCTTCTGAAATGCTTGTACAAAAGTACCTATACCATCTGAAGGACTAAGATCGTAGAATATGGGCAGAACCATTTGCTTCAGTGTTCTTCTGCACTCCATGATCTGCACCAGCTCCTCAAGACACCAGATGGAATCCGCATACCTACTTGAGAAGACGATGACCGAAACCCTAGACCCTTCGATTATTTGCTTCACTTTGTCTGATATATTTTCCCCTCTTCTTATTGATTCGTTCTCCTCCATAAAGAAGTCAATGCCGGCGTCTTTCATTGTCCAGTAGAGGTGGTCCGTGAAGGTTTTGCGTGTGTCTTCGCCACTAAAGCTCAAGAATACGTCATAGGGTGAGGAGGAGGAGGTGGTGGTGGTGGAGGAGGAGGACGGTGAAGATGAAGATGAGGCTTCAAGTGCTGTACTTGTATCCATAACTGCTTACTGCAAAATTAATGATTCATTCAAGTCAAAATTCGCAGATCAGTCCACACAAAAATAAGTGCTTTTCTATCTACATAATTGGATCGAAGTGCGCAGATCTGCTCGCCCAAGTTAAAATGAAATACGATGGCTTTTCATAAAAGCAAATCAATCAGGATAAGCAATACAATAGAATACAACACCCAACTAAAATCTAATTGAGAAAATAAAGACTATTAATCGAAAACAGAGGAAAAAACCTGCATGATCCTTCAGCCACAACTAATTCCCCAATTTACAAGATGAAAGATTTGCAGAGGAAGGAATAAGAAAGAGGGAGAAGAGTGTAGAGGGAGGCAGATTCTCTGCTACTTTTTTCCCCTACATTTTCATCCTGTATGTGTGGTCACAATTAAACCATGTCAATATTTTATATTATTTTTTTTATAGAAATAATATCGTGACCACACAAATAAAAAGAATAGAAGTGTATAGAAAAAAAGTAGCAGAGAATCTGCCTCCAGAGATGTAAGAGGGAAGAAAATCATCGTCCAATGTGAGGTGCATGTGGATTTAGGACAAGGATTGTCTGCCCTCCTTGTTTCCGTGTCCTCTCATGTTCTCCTATTTGTGTGGTCACGGTTAAACCACGTCAACATTTTATATTACTATTCATTTTTGTCTTATTATCTCTATAAAAAACAATATAAAATGTTGACGTGGCTTAACCGTGATCACACAAAACAGGAGAGTAAGGGAGGGCACGGGAACAAGGAGGGTAGACAATCCTTGTCCGTGGATTTGACTGATGGTTGTTGACCTTTAGGTGGTTTGTTGACTTTAATTTAATTATGAGGGGTAAAGTTGGATTTAAATCTGTGGATGGAAAAAAACACTTTCCCTTCATGATTTAGGGAGACTGAAGTGCCACTGAAGCGAGTAGTTGACTTGGTATTTGCAGATCACCTGGTAAAGCCACAACAAGCTCTGCCAACAACAATCCATGGATACTACCATCACAGCTATCGATCCCTCATCTGCATCTTTACCCTCCTCCTTGAAACAATGGAAGCATGACGTGTTCTTGAGCTTTAAAGGTGAAGAAACCTGTCGGACCTTCACCGACAACCTCTACTGCACATTAATAGACAACAAAGTCAAAATCTTCTGTCATGTCCCGATCCCAACATACATCGAGAATCGACACGTGACACGGAAAATAATGTTTGTTGAATACGGTATAAGTTACGGAATGAAATACTTTAACTGATAACCCAAAATAATGTGAAGGTGGCTAAGTTCTCCACAAAATATTTACAATTATTTACATCCCAAAAAGAAGCATAATCTTTGATTTACTAAGAACAAGTATGAGGTGCTCAAAAGAAAGTCCCAAAAGATAAAGCACAAGAGTGAAACAAGGGTAACCTAACGCTCCAAGTCTCTAATAACTGCACTGCTACCCCCACCTACAAACTTCTCTAAGTCTACTCAAACCTGTCACCTGTACGATCAATGTCTACACCATCGAAATGGTGCACCAGGCCAACAACAACCTGGATAAGTTGCGAAGCTTATGAGAGTGACAATAATATCAAGTATGTGAGAATAATGCTAATGCCAACCATCAAACACAATTTACATATCTTGAATATAAATCATTCATAAGAAATCAATACCAACTTTTGTAAACCCCGAAGGAGTCACCCCGACATCCAACGGTTCGTCGGAAACCAATCACAACCATCTTCTCATACAACACAATGAAAAGTAGAGTTAGAATGACACAGTTTGGCCGAAGCCTACACCTTTGAAGCCATCTCAATTCAAATTCAATAAATCCCAAGGTGAGTACGATCCCAGACCTTCATTCAACAGAATCGCGAAATAAGAGGGATTCCGGACCATCTCTCAACGGAATCCAAGTGGATACGATTCCGGGCCCTCACTCAACGGAATCGCTAAGTACAATACATAACAATAACTAAATGAAACCCAAATTAGATACGATTCTGGAACATCACTCAACGAAATCGCGGAATAGAAGGGATTCCGGACTATCTCTCAATGGAATCCGAGTGGATACGATTCCGGACCATCACTCAACGGAATCGCAGAAGACTAACAACCAGAATGTACGACGGCTCAAAGAAATGAGACCAGCACAGGCTACTTAATTTACAAAAACTCAACAAAGGGAGATTAGGCACAATTACTAAATTTAGAACCAATCACCGAAGCGGAAGGTGAAACAATATCGAAGCAACAAATCCCCATCATAATGGTTAACGGTCCATTACTAGTCCTCACATTAATCTCAACATGCCAATCATACAAATCAAACCACATTTCCAATATACATGCCACACCCCATTTCATGAACATAAATTGATGTCGAAGTATTGGAATAACAATTCAATAGAACATATTCATAAAACCAATTCATATCCACACAGGATCATAATTATGACAACCTGGTAATTACCAATATCACATATATTAAAGGCACTCACCTGGAGTCCGTGTTAATGTACCCTAGCACGATAGTCAAGGCATCACGTTCTATCACCGCCTAACAAAGCACAAGTCCACATTTAGATTTCCTTCGATAATTCACATACTCAAAAATTCTCATATCTCTCCCACAACAACATTTACTGAGGAATCGAACCGTCGTTCTAATGTAGAGTCCATGATCTTACGTCATTTGCTTCGTAAAATCCAATCATTAGATTTTCACTTATAAGTCCCTAAGGTCCTTAAACAATATCTACAATAGCATACTAAAATTTGGTGTCAATTCAATGATAAGATCGCCAATTGTTAGAATAATCAAGTGGCAGACCTTATCGATAATATATACAATCAATAGCATTTTCATAAATCGAATGTCACATATCAGAAAATTCGATTTTTTCCAAAAATTCTCAAATTTTACAAGAATGAAGATCTCAACAAGTAGAGTAAACTTTATACCTATGACCGAGTCCAATTTGGCCGGGAATGCCCTCAAATTGGCTCGCACCCAACAAAACCCTAAGGTGGGTGTTCTTCAATTCGTCTTCCTTGGTGTTCCAACGCCCCAACCACCAGTTGGGTCTTGTTCTTGGGTCCAAGGGAAGTTGATTAAGGGTGATGGTGAATGGTGATACTCTCTGGAATGACAATTCGTCGTCAAGAACCCCCGAGTTCTCCTATGGAGTTCTACATGAAATAGACCTTAAAAACCCTTGATTTTCCATGAGGATGGAAGAAGGAAGGTAGTTGAACAGGTTGCATGTGAAGGAAATAGGAAAGTCAATTGAGAAATGGTAGAAGTTGGCTTGAAATTGACCGGTTGTGAAAGAAATGGCTACTGTGGTACACGGGTTCAAGAAATGGGGGGAAAGAAAGAAGAATGTCCACCTTCCTATTTTTTTTTTCTCCTCTAATAAAAGGATTAGCGCCCCCCCCCCCCAAAAAAAAACTCCCTTTTTACTCCTAATAACCGATTCCCTTAACCCACTTATACTTTTGGGCCTTTTTACTCTCAAGCGGGAATTAAATCATTTCCACAACCCAAAGTTTCATAAATTCAAATGTTTGTAACTATACCGTTATAATTCGGACTCGCAAACAGCTTTCACCTATGCGTTCGTGGGTTCGATATCTATTTAAAGACACTAGTTATAACTTCAAAAGGTCAACGAAAGATAAAAATTGATTATGAAACTTCCAACTCGATAACTAATCAATTACTAAACTTAAAATTAACTAATAAAGATAACGTAATTGCGAAATACGAATTTAAATTACGAGATACATAATGAATGATGAAATTCCGGGGATGGGATTTCACATCTTCATTGACGAGAATGGACTTCCAAGAGGAGAAAACATAACAGATGAACTGGTGGAAGCGATCAGACGGTCCAGGATGTCCGTCATCATCTTCTCAAAACGGTACGCGGAATCCCGATGGTGCCTTGAGGAGCTAGAGAAGATCATGGAGTGCAGAAGAACACTTGGGCAAATTGTTCTACCAATATTCTACAACGTCGATCCAACGGATGTTAGGAACCAGACTGGTAGTGTTGCAGAAGCATTTCAGAAGCACGCAGAGCGCTTCCATAGAGATACAGATAAAGTCCAGAGGTGGAGATCTGCTCTTACTGAAGCTGCAAATTTGTGTGTTGGGAACCTTAGAAACACTGATCGGTAATTTCTATGTTACTTTTTAACTTACTGGTTTTACATACATAGCATGTATTTTACAGGATGATGTATTATAAGTGTGGAACTATAAATTTTTACCAAAGTGGGCTAGCAAATTGTTATATGGTGACTTGTTGGTTGCTAAAAAGAATTTTCGACGAAAAATCAAGAGATAATATGGAGAAATCAATAAACAATAGAGAGTTAAGATTAAAAACCAGAGTCATAAGGGGATTGTTTTAATAAATTGAGTAAAGATACAAAATGAACTTGACTTAGGCTTAATTTGGGTGAATTATACTTTAAGATATATATGTTGGGGTTTAAAAAGACTTCACTTCTTTGGAGATGTTTATCTCACAAAGAAGAATGTAATGCAGCGGAATTGATAGGCAAGAGAAAGAAAGAACACTAAAAGTTTTTACACAAATTTTTTTTATTCACTCACAAATTAGTACAAAAGGAAACACTCAAACACTCTTAGAAGCTTTGTTGCTTCTTCTCACTTCTCACTACTTGCTCTCTTGGTTGTTACAAATGGTGTGGATGCCTTCTCCTTTTATAGGCATGGATGGAACCTTGGAGAAGCATGGAAGCATCATGCTAGATATATCTAGATAATTCCACTACATTCCTAAGCTAGAATATCTACATTAATCTTGTATGTTGATGGAATCCTCACCATTCTTCTATACTCTTCCACTAACTTGAACTTTGCTAAAATTCTTTAGTGGCATGAATCTTTCTTTGTGTATGGGCCAGATCAATTGTCTTGGGCCAAAGACAAGATTACATTTCAACAATATATTGATATGCGGATTATATTCGAACTTTTCACGAGAAAAATACCTGGATTATAGCCCATGTGGTGGCCGTCATGCTAGTTACGACGTTGATGTATTAGTTTCAGTTTAGCAACCTTTAATTGCCAACTTCATGTGTTGAATTTTCTTAAGCCTCTATTACAAAATGTCAATAAACTATAAAATGATAGGGCTTAGAACCTTGATCAGTTTACACATTGTAATGCTGCTAATGCAAAGAGTAGAAACCTGATGTGTATCTGAGAGAGAGAGAGAGAGAGAGAGAGAGTATTTTTAAATGCTTGATCTATCAGTGTGGTCGAATTGAGCTAATCACTTGGATCAATATAATGCGCCATTGTTTGTTCGAAG